TTGGTAAATGCACTGGTATCAAATGTACACAGAAGTGAAATAAAGGAAGACCAAATGTCATAAGGTTCTGTAATGCAACAGAATTTGAGTTACTGCAGCCATGGCAAGAAATGAAAGAACACTTCAGGTATGTTTTGATTTCATTATGAAAAATCCAGTGTTTTGAAGCAAAGAAACCAAAAAAACAACCACAACATAAGTATGTTTGGTAAAAATGTCTTGATAAAGCCTGATTGTGCGAATCACTTCGAAAGCATTCAAAGGGAATACGATATAATAACGCAGCTTGACACAAGTCCTCACACTTATTATTTATTGCCAATCCATCTGAGTACACACAGCAGCCAGTTAAAGTGACCCCATGTGAAGTCAGCAGGTAGCATGATGAGAGCAAACAGCAAAACAGCTCTTTCAATGAATAACACATGAGATAACAAACATGGGTAGACAATGATCCAGTGCCTTCAGCGAGTCAAGTGCAACAAACACGCACACAAACACAGGCAGAATCTCAAGAGAACACAAAAGGGCTACTCAAAGATATCAAAATGAAACCGGAGTTGGTGGCAATGCTTTTGTAAAAGACAATAAACTTAAATAAATATAAATTAATTTGTATTCAAATCTATGTAAATGTATTATCTCTGAAGTCAGTATTTGAAAATGCAGACATTAACTGTTTCAAGAAGCCGAAGTCAAGTCTCCGTTCTGCACATATTGTGTCACCCTGTTTCAGGATTGTTTACCTAAATTCATATAACATAAATGATACATTCACTGATGTATCAATGGGGATTTCTTTCTAAAAGGAACAGTCAGAGTAGTTATACATTTAGCAAAATACGCTTTCTTGTCAAAGATAACATAAGAAGTTAGCATTTGGACTTTCATTTCCAACGTTTTGAAGGTCATTTTGAAATACGATCTGTGGTCGGTTTTGTTTTACGCAATATGACAGGTCAGCTTTACCACACTGGTGAATTTTCTTAAATGTTTTCATATCTTAAGAAAGGCATGTGCTAACAAGAGGCTAAATAATACTAAAACCTCATCATGCCCAACACTGGTCCACCTTTAGCTTAGCGGTTAGTGATGTTAAGTCATGAGAATGTAACTTCAGCTTCATATTATCTTGCTAGCTAAACAAAAGATGTACGCTTCATAAACGCTTCATTTGCAAAAGGCTTATATCCTGCAATAAAAATACATTTATATTTAAAGGTCCCGTGTCATGGCCATTTCTACTGATCATAATTCCATTGTTGAGGTCTACTAGAATACATTTATATTGTGCAATTTTCCAAACTCACATTGGTTTCTCATACAGCATCTCTGTATAGTATGTGTATTCACTCTCTGTCCTAAACGGCTTGTTGGAGCTCCTGTCCCCCTCCCTCCCTGTGAGCCCAGTGGCCGTCTGCGAGACAGCGAGACACAGCGAAACCCAGCCCCAAACACACACACACACACACACACACGCAGCCTGGCTGGGAATTTGTGTGTGTGCCCAGGCTGAGTTCCGTGGTGTCTCGCTGTCTCGCCGACCCCACACCAGTGAGCCGGCTCACAGTGTCCCGCTCCTCGCAGCAGCGAGCCTCGCAACGTCCCGCCTCGCGTGCGTGTGTGAGGAAGTCCGCGGATTGGTCCAAACGTAACGTCTCCGCGGACGTTACGTTACGTCACTATACCCAAAATACGTCACTATACCCAAGAAGAAAACAATGGAAAAAGAGAAATGTCCAACGAGGCGTTCTGGGGCAGCATAGACAGGTATTTTCTGTGTTAGAGTTTTACTCGCTACAGGGTGTACTTTGAGGGTTTGTGACTCTGCAGACAGTTTACATGCAGAAAAACCTTCATAACACACAAGGGGACGGGTAATAACCGGAAAAGCATGACATTGGACCTTTACATTTTGTCTCTGGAACTAACACGATGCATTTCGGGTTTGTTTACAAAAATGTGTTATACCTGCAGCACTCTATTTTCACGTTGTATCTTGTTTAATCCATATAATAAACAGAAATTGGGAATGACAAATTATGGTTTTAGGCTAAACTAAGATAAGCCAAAGGGCGGCTAGCTTAATATTCACAGTACAAACCTGAGTTTGTATGAGTTAAAATCAATATTTTAATCTAAATCGGCTGAATGAGCATGATCCCCAAAATGCAAAGCTTCACTTTTTAAAGCAACACATCATACATGATCAGTAATACATTTGTACACACTGCTATTTACCAGTTTGATACAGGACTACTGCATTTATATTTTCCAGCTGCACAGTTCTTGTTCATTTCAATGGAGTGAAGACATTTTCTTAAAATGAATAAGCTTTCAAAGTTATGCATGACACAGCAAAGTCAAAGTGTTACAGCTTTGTTTTGAACATGAGGATCAGATTCTCCATCAAGGTATTAGACGAATGAAATCGTCCTGGGTTATTAAGTTAGAAGTTCACACAGCACCACCAGCCCTTATTAGAAGATAAATGTTGACATTTCCCTTTTGCTGTAGCACAGCCCTACGTCAGATGATAGCATCAGGGGGCTCAACTCAATTTATAAGGGGGTAACATTTCATCTTCAAACACCTCGCTGAGTGGGTATGTAACAGGACGCCATAATCCATCAATAAAAGTGTATTGATATTGTCAAATGTTAATATGTCATCCATAAACCCTTGGGTCCTCTTGTCACCGGGACACAGCTCAGCGACACATATTGCCTCATCGTGTTGTCGGCCATCGACCCGGGTCTCCCTGTGAGCGCCGGACGCTGTAAAATGTTGCATGCCGTGACAGAGCCGAGCATTAATCAAAGTTGATTTCAAGTGTGAGGGCGCGAGGGCCTTTTTCTGCCTGGAGAACTGTTTAGCACAACAGCGCCATGTACAACAGGGTCCTCGCTCTTCAGTGTAATGGTAGCAAAAGGAGGTCATAAATAATGGATTCAAGATCACTTACACTTCATGAAGCAGGCCGCTGTATGGCGGTTCGAGGGGATATCACATTTTGCTGCTCGAATTATAGATTGGGTTCTTTTAGCTGCAATTGGAAAGGAAAACAAGACCTCCAAGTGGGCTCTGAAAGAGTTTAATATGGTGCAAAACATGACGGCAAAGCAACAGTTTAGACACTGAATGATGATGGTGAATAGCTGGAAACAGAAGGACTTAAAGGGAAATCAGCTTTTGGTCTCAACAACTTTTTTGCATTCCTTATGCGAGACTTTTAACTTTCAAAACTAATCACAACCTCAACTTGGATATACAAAAATAATTGAAAAACACTAAGGTTGTTAACTGGAATCCTATTTATCTTAGGTAAAGATAGATGCAAATGGATTTGTAATTTATCACCTCGTGTTACAGAGTCATATTTGCACTTCACTGTCTCTGGACTTTAAATGCTGCTCTAATCTCCTCCTGAAAAACGATTAGAATTACATTTTGAATGCATTTTAAATGTAACTGTCCACTATCTAACCTCATTTAATTGAAAATATATGAGTATTTATTCAGCATTTTCTTTGATTGTCCATAACACCGAGCTGTTTGCTTACTAAAATTGGAGAGGTGTCCTTATATAATCTTTAATTCACTGTTATTACCTTTAGATGATAGCAAATAATGTGATAACCCCTTGCTGTAACATAATGTCAGTGCTGCAGCTGCCTGTCTTCGTACTGCCCCTCAGTGGCAGGACAGGGAAACAGCCTCAAAAAGACAATGTGCCTTTTGTGTGAACACATTCTGCAAGACCCTGCATGCACACACCGTGGCAAACTTCGATATTTCAACATTAAGTATGAGGATAAGAATCCCAATAATTTCTAATGTGCCAATGCAGCCGGAGATAAATAGCACAGAGCAGAGGAGATGATCAGATCTCACTCCATATCTTAATGGGATCCTCTCACACGCCATTCCCATTAATGACCAATCTCTCAATTATGTAAATCAGAGAGAAACGGTCACTAGCAGTGAGAAGTTGAAGTTGCTCACATAAACAGCAACAGTGTCACATTGCAAAGAGCGCTAATTGGGCACTACTTTTGGTATAATTGCAGCGACTGGGGGTCACGTCCTCGGCCGACCTCTCCTTTTAAGTATTGTTTTCCAGCGCACAAACAGTTAATGGAGCAATTAAGATGGCGCTCACAAGCACCACTTGTGAGGACCATTTGGCAAGAAAGAGCTGCAGAGAGGACGACTGGGACGCTGTAATCCTGCATGTGGTTCACAAGAGTCTGGGACCAGAGGGAGTCGAGAGTCAAGGTGCAAAATACAACTCACTGAATACTCTGCTGGGAATGTGATCTGTAATCAACACATTCTGGTACTTCCTGTGTTTTCTATACCCGATAAACAACCATGAACTGTATACCAAGCAGCAAACACTGCCTAGAGGTTGATTGTAATTCAGCTTCTGAATTGAATCACAACTTCTATGAATCGATTTTTCACAATGTATTGTGTGACTTGTTGAACCGTCAACCAAATACCAGATTTTACCGTGTATTATTTAACCATTTATCTTTTTAAATGTGCAAGTCTCTGAGAAATAAAAACACAGCTAGCCTTCATGTTATATTTTTTCTAACAGGAAGCATTTTTATTTTGATCATTTACTTGAACTTGTTCATCTTAAAGTCACTGAGAATTGAGAAATACCAAAACCGTGTTGCTTTTTTTATTGGAAATGTTTGCTAATAAGCAATGTGACCTTTTGTCTCAGGTTTGCCTCCATGTGTGTACATTATTACAATTAGTTGATGTAACTCTTAACTATGTTATACACACTTTACTGGCATTTTCGTGCCACGATTTGCTGCATTGCCTATTTTAACACACAGCGACCTGCAGTAGTTTCTTTAATTTCCCCCCCCCCCCATGTACTAAAATTGAAAATCCCTTTTTGAATCAGGCACAGTTTTAAGATTCTGAACGATTTTGAGTCTAAAGGCAACAAAATCATATTGTGATGGTGACATACCAAAGGATTCACACTCCTAGTAGGGAGCACAGGCACGTTTATTTAGTTATTCAAAAATCACACATACAGTTCATGTTCTACAACCCTTTGTTTAATGTCACAATATATAATTTCCAAAGCTTTAATTATCATAATTATCACTTTGAACTGCATTTGTAATGAAACACTGATGTGAAATGACACGTATAAAACTCCAAAAATACATTTTAAACCTTCTTTCAGTATATTTATGACACCATTTAGAGCCATTGACTTTTATGTGTGTGTTTAAACTGCATTTGATGTGTAAAATAATGTAAAGAAGGATTATGAAGGCACATTCAGTTTCCATTTTTTCTTTCTAGCACTTCGCAAAGATTTTCTCAGACATGTCTTCACATTGTCATTGTGTGTCAAGATAACCGGCAGCTGCTATACCTCTTTTTAGAATGTAACATGATGCAGTGTTTTTCATACTCATAGAAAGTTAAGGGTGTCATAACCCACGTGACAGCACACTGATCCCAAACCGGGGGCTCAAAGAAGACAACAAGCTACTAGTTATCTCATCACACAATAAACCAGTAATCAAGTAAGACTTTAACTCATTCTGATGGGAGTCATAAGGAGATCAAAAGGAGTGCGAATGACACCTTTTTTTAGAGACTCATCCCAGGAGAGTGAAGAGGAAAGTTTCCTCTCTTCATCTACCACAGACTTTGCCCACCCTCTATGACTAAGTTATGCCCTGTCATGTAGTCGGAGGCGTCACATGCCAAGTAGACCACTGCAGCTTGCAGGTCTGTCACTAGAGCCAGTCTACCAGCAGGGATGTCTGACAGCCAGCGCTGCACCAGAGGCCTCAGACTCTCCGAGTGGATGAGAGGGGTGTCAACAATCCCCCTGAAAAACAGAGACAGAGAAAGAAGGGGGGAAGGGAATAAAAATAAATAAAAAACACAATGAAATCAGAGGGCATCACTGCTCAGAGTCAGGAGTGACAGTGTTGTTTCAGAGCCACCACTTTGGTGACAAAAATAAACCCAATTATCCTTTGAAGAAAGGGCACGGCGTGGCATCACTGCTGGTGTTTACAGAGGGGGCGCCGGTACGTCTCAGGAAGAGCCCCCGGGTGAGGGGACAAATCGCATCATTTGCTCAAAGCCTTTTGGTTAAGTACTTATAACGCTGCGACTATTTCATATTCCTGCTCTGATTTCTGATGGAAATGTGCCAGTGAGACACTACAGGCAAAAACATAACAACAGTGATAAAAACAGATCGCCAAAAATCCATCTGTAAAAAAAGATTTGACTCTAATGTGGCAAAGAAAGGAAACAACATGTTTTACCTGGCTATAATGTTCAGATTGGTGTTCTGAAATGTTTTCACCCTATCCTTAAATGCACCTGTACATTTTTACATTATTTTAAGCTTTTCTTTGCATCCAACATGTCTTATTTCACACTGGAGGAAGGAAATTGTCAAGAGTACACATTAAGGTGTTTATTTAACTAACTTTGTTTATATGGGACTTTAGATTTCATCTAAACTTAGCATTAAATAACAGCTAATTTGCAAATTTCTTCATAACATTTAACCAAACTTGTATATAGACTTCATAGTTAAAATAGTTTACTCTATTTCCTGGAAGTGCCTTGCAAAATAAATTGAATTCTACCAAACATATCTTTAGAGGCAGATTTCTAAATTAGTTTTTTGATCACAGGATCGAACCCTGATTTATATCGCATTATTTCCCAAAACATAGCAGAATATAATTTTTTTTATGGCAGTATTTCTGGATTTCTGTATTGAGATACAGTGTCTAAAGGTTTGTGTCTAAACAAACCTTTGAACCTAATGTGTCAACAAAATAAAAACTGGCTTCATCCAATATTCTCTAGTTTGGTTACATTTTGAAATGTATGCAAATTAGCACATATTTAATAAGGTGTTGCGTATATAAATATAACAGTTAAACAAATCTATAATACAAAACTGATAGCTTTAAACGTACGTAATCAAAAAGGAGGACATTTCATGGTGGTATCTATTAGTTACATTTAAACCCTATTCACCTGTAGTCTCAAAGGTTTGCTGCATTAGATTTTGTGATTGCAGTGGTGTCGATGTGGCATCATTACCCACAACTAATGCAGTTGTCTCGAAAGTATCAAGGAGCTAACATTTGTATAAATAAGTCAACACGTCACCCATGCCTAATATGAGACGACTTCTGACTTTCCGCACAATTATCGTGACAGTGACTAAAAGCGGCGAGGCCCGACTCATTGTTCGATGTATCCCGTTTCCTTGATATGAAATTCCAACATTTGGCTAAATTAGCGCTTCCAAGGAGCGTGTGACACCTTGGTTAACATATTCCACCTCAATTATATTTCTCTTCAGCCGCCCCTGTTATCTGGAACCTTTTGCTGGCAATCAGAGGTTCTGTTTTCCCTCAGCCAATTTTCTAGATAATGCAGCTTATCACCGCTGCGGCTAAAGTTGCCAATGGAATCAGGCTCCAGTCAACCTTGTGAGCGCTAATTGTGTCCCTTTTTTTATGCATATTTACCGACTGTCACTTCAAAGAAACCAGCAGCCCATTGAGACACCCGGTAAGCGAGGGGAGGTAGAGAGAGAAAGAGAATTGCTTCTTTGCAAATTAAAATTAGCAAACAAGCAGCCGATAAATAAAGCTGAGCGTGTGTGAGGGCTTTGTTCTGGGGCTGTGACTGGGCCTGGCTCGCCCAATGCCACCGGACGGATTTGCTCAGGGATGGCTGGGGCTAAGGGATGCTCCACTTAACACATACACACACACAGCCCTTCCTGCATTCTCCTCTTCTTTTCTTCCCCCCCTACTCAGCTTCACAGACAAATAGATACAAACAAGGCGCTATTGTTGCGCCCACACTCGGAGTGAGGTTGCACATTTGATTCCCTAATTGAATAGAACAATTAGAGCAAGTGTTTGGTTCATTCATCCCTCAAGACGTCATCTAATTAAGCGCTGATGCATTGTTTGAGGACTTAAATTAGCGCATCATTCTCAGATGGGGCTCTTCATATGAAAGCAAACACACTAATCACCACTTCCTCGTGCAGCTCAATCCCTCGCAACACTCAAAAGGTGGACCACTATGATTTGGCACGGAAAAAGACAAAAGTGCTGAGAATAGACGGCACTTACGGTGAGATGCAGTTGACACGCACTCCTCTGTCGATCCATTCAGTGCCCAGAGTCTGAGTCAGTTTGACCACTCCAGCCTTCGATGTGTTGTAGGAGAGCTGCTTCTGGGGGTGGGGGACTGCAGGGAGGGGATGAAACAAAATAAGTTACTGGGTAGTACATATATTTGTACCGATACATCTTTGAGAAAGATTAAAGGAGCTCATTATCAGGTTTCATAGTTGTATTTTGTGGCTCTTCTGTGACATGGACACAGCACCTCTTTTCACCCTCTGTCTGAAACCAGAGCCCAGTCTGCTCTGATTGGTTAGCTGGATGGCTCTGTTGTGATTGGTCAACCACTTAGAGATGTCCCACCCCTTAACATATCGATACGATACGATATACTTTATTGTCCCCGTTTGTTCTGGACTCTGTCCTGCAGTTCCGCATACATGTACATATACAAACATAGTAGACATTAAGAGACCACTGGCGCGTTTCCACTACAGCGCGGAGCACGGTTTAAGAGGGCTGTGACGTCAGCGGCCTGTCTTTGGTTGCGTTTCCACTTGGCCTAGTACCGGCCGGCGGGTCCTAATTCACAGTTTTTCTGGCCTCATAAAATCGCGGGTCTAGGGCCAGAGACAACGAGGCTGAGTCGGGCTGAGTATGCTAAACTAGAGAGAGAATCGCTGGCAAGGGGGCTACAACTACAACAAGATGGACATATTTGACCGTGATTTAATTGTAATACACGTTTCAAAATGATGCCGAAGTAACAACATACTGATACCGGTTAGTAAAAACCATGAATTAATGCTTTGACAAGTCTGCAGACAGACGGCAGGCGAAAAACCTTTTAAAATGCGTGTTTTCTAAATGGAGATTGGCTAAGCTAACGCAGTATATGCTCCGACCGTCCACACTCACAACGGCCTATACAGACATAAATAAAGCAGCGACTGTATTCGCCATGACACAGGCAGTCTGTGGTTTGTACTTGTTTAACTTTTGTCTAGTTTCTGAACATATATGAGGAGCTGTGAGCTCTGAGTGCTAACAGCTAACGGCTGTGTTGTTTTTCTGGGGTTCTCATTGAAGATGACGTCACGGCTCCGCCTACACTGCGTTACTATAGATACTACCCCAGTTCCTAAACTGTAATGGAAATGCGCCATAAAGTGAGCCAGTCCTAACGAGGCCTAGCCATACCGAGCGAGGCCGAGTGAGGCCGTGTAGTGGAAACGCGCCAATACACATATCATCAGTCATACACCGTTTGAACAAACACAATACACAGACGCACATACTGACAATGGCGACCTATCACTTACAATGTGTTGGAGCGCTAGCCAATAGAAGTGCGAGTGTTACGTAGTGATGTCACTATGATACAGAAGTAAACTAAGGTGTCCAATGGAGGCGTTTTTAAGGCAGAGGGGGGGGGGGGGGGGGGGGGGGGAGAGAAACTCTCTGGAAAGGGAAAAAACCCCAAAACATAATAGGGCCTCTTTAATATTGAACGGTTAAGGTTAAGTTTGGCAAATCAGGGGGGTTACCATCGAGACGTGATCCGAGTGCAGAACACTAAACATGGCGATTGGAGGTGTTGACATTTCAGGAAAAAAATCACAAGATTTAGGAGAAAAGATAAATGAACATTTGAAGCGTCAGAACTGTCAGTTTTTGTTATTTTAACAATTGTGATATCAGGTGTGGTTAGGGCTATGGAATATTTGGTTAATTTAATCAGCATCGGCAATGAAAAGGTATTCTTTAGACCGGCTGAAATAAATCCATATCTTGCATCCTATCATTCAGCCTAAATGGACACAACACAGCGTTTTATAAAAGAAAACATTAACTCTACTATGAATAATGGTATGTCTTTTTACAATCATCACCTGTTCATTAAAACATCTTTCATTTTCAAGAGTAATTCCTTTAACAGAGACAAACAGAGCCAAGTAGCCTTCTCATAAAAGCTGGCAACATATACATTTTATATTGCAGCTGCTGCGGTTTCTTGTGCATGCTACATAAAAGCTCTTCCATTAGCTGCTTGGGGGGGGGGGGGGGGGGGGGGGGACGGACTCCTGAGGATGAGGCCATGTAAAATTAATTGCTTATAATGTCCAGTTATGCTCTGTCCTCAGCAACAAAGACAGGGAGCCATTTGTTTGCCTTGACCATCACAGATGCTGCACACTGCATGGGAGAGAAGACAGGGGCTCATTTTCTGCCGGTTGATTAATCATCACAAGGAAGGCTCCAAGTTACATACAACTTTAGTAGTTAACCTCGTCACCCGCCGATCTGACTGCCAAATGGCTTCAGTGTGAGACCGGGGATGATAAATACCAGCCAGCTGCAGAGAGGCAGGGACCGGTCCTGGGGAGGAGAGAAAGGCAGCAGCATCCCGCATATGCAGGTAAAAGTTGGCTGTGGAAATATGATGTAAAGGGTGGGACGATGAAGCTGAGAGTGTGGCGAGATAGAGGGGCCGGGCTGGATGAGGGGAGGCTAGGACCTCAGAGGAGCAGGCGAGGAGGAGCAGAGCCCAGGGCTTACACGCAGATTGAAGGTGAAATCCGACTTATCAGGACAGGAAACACAGCTCAAAATGCCTAACAGCACTAATCCTCGCTCGAGACCTGATGATACGGCCCCAAAATACCATTCAGAAAATGCCTTCATCCTTTAAATAAACCTGCATTGATGTTTTTCGCCGTCTTAAAGAGCGGTAATCCCCAGAGAAGGGAAAAGGAGGTAGAAGGAGAGCATTCTCCAAAGCCCTCTTTAACATTCACCCTGCTACTTATTGCCCATTTCAAGTGGGAGAAAACATGCTCTTTATCAGGCACGCCTTTTACATTTCGAATTCTTCCCGAGTTCAAATGATGCACTCTTTTTTTCCCAGACTGGCGTTGTAATGTACTTTGCTATTCAGCGCAGATCTGCAAGGATGAGTGTGAGAGTCACAAATCCCTCTGTAAGGTCATCACGCAGCCAAAAAAAAAAGTGTGATCGTATCAACGTGGATATTTCCTGTCTGGGTGTCTTTGAGCTGCTGGCCATTATTTAGAGAAAAAAGTGCCGGTTGATGGTCGGGTGTGTGTGTGTGTGTGTGTGTGTGTGTGTGTGTGTGTGTGTGTGTGTGTGTGTGTGTGTGTGTGTGTGTGTGTGTGTGTGTGTGTGTGTGTGTGTGTGTGTGTGTGTGTGTGTGTGTGGAGAGGGTGTTAGCGGACACATTCTATTCAGCAGATGGACAAAAAGCTGTCATTGTGCATTTTAATTGGGCATTTACGGCGTTTTTTCGGGCTTCCACTTGGCTAGAACAGGTCCCATCTGATTACACATTATGACAATATTATAACAGATGTCCAGACCAGTAAGTAAATTCCTGAAGGACTGTACGTAATGTGAGTAATTGATCACTTTTTCTCATGCCGGCCTCTATTTACCAGCATGCTCCTGTTTTACAGATTGCCCCTGCAGCCCATATGGCACGGCGTTTTACTGACTATACGACTATACTGCTGATGAAGTGTTGCTGCTCCTCTGGAGGAACCTGTTGGAGGAGGAACATTAAATACAAGGCTTTTACTAGGCGCTCACTAAAACTCTCAAAGTGTCTTCCGCTGTTCAAACAAGCGCTGCTGGCACAGGCTGGGGTTTTTGCCGCTGCGCAGGAACCCTCCCTTCCCAAGTTGGACCTCAGGTTGCCTTCACATCCTCCACACGGCTCCGCGGAGAGGGGATGTTTATTATGATGCAAAAGCGCCTCTGCGAGACGCAATCACAACACTTTCCTGCTGTATGCAGGGGCGGATGCATCTCTGTACAACAGTTTAACTGGGTTAAAAAGCAGAGGTGGAAGAAGTACTTTCACTTTTAAGTAAAAATACCAACACAGTGTTTAATAGTACACAAGTAATAGCTTCAAAATATACTTGAATGACCTATTTCAGAATAATATTATATCACTGGATTATAATTGTTGATGCATTAATGTGTTCATTACTTACTTTAATTATGCTTTTGGGGTTTTCTCTTCCCTGTAGTGTGTTATCTAAGTTTAAGTGCATGTAAATGGTCTGCAAAGTCTAAAAACCCAAAGTTCCATCCATAGGGAGTTTCTCTCTCTCACACTCCCCCCCTGCCTGAAACGCCTCCATTGGACTCCTTTGTTTACTTCCACAAAAAATGACATCCCTACGTCACACTCGCACTTCTATTGGCTAACACATTGTACGTGAGGCAGGCTAAGGGGCGGGACATCTAAGCGGTTGACCAATCACAACAGAGCCGGCCAGTTCACAAAAATGTCCCAAATTGGGATCAATAAAGTTCTATCTTATCTTAACCAATCAGAGCAGACTGGGCTCTGGTTTCAGACAGAGGGTGAAAAGAGGTGCTGCAGCACAGGCAGTATGAGACAAATAAAGAGCTTTTTGAACATTAAAGCATGGAGACATGTCACAGGAGAGACATAGTACAATATTTGTATTAAATGCATAATGGAAATAATCAATTCACTTCATAATCACTTAAGTACTGTACTTGGTTAAATGTGCTCAGCTGCATTTTACCAGTGTTAAAAAGCTGCAAAGAAGCAAAGCTGGCTTTTCCTGTTTTAAAGTATTCCTATCTTATCTCATGAACAGGAAAAAGTTTTTTCTCAGGTTTAAATGGTCTGATGTCAGTCCTGACTTTCATTCTGATGATACACACTATGATGTGTACTCCCGCAGATAGCTGCTCAGCACAGATGTATTTAACTCTTCCTCCCTCCTCCTCTCTACCCAACTCTCCACGCCAAATGGAGAGATTAAAAGCAGACATGGAGGGGCTCCAGAGAAGAGGAGGTGGGGGGGGATAGACTCATCACTCACCTATTAGACTGGCCATGGAGGCTGTGTTGATAATCTTTCCGTATCCTTGCTTCAACATCACTCGACCTGCAGCCTGAGGCGAGGATTCGGGGGAAAGAGACACATTAAACACCTTATCATGGCACTGATACGCTCGCTAAGGCCTAAACACGGATCAACACGAAAACACGGAGTCTATCCTCGGAGGCAGGGAGAGTGTTTAGACAACATTTGGCTGACACCGCTTGTTTCCTGCTCCTAATCTGTTTTGTATCTTAATAAAGTGATTATAATTGGGTTTGGATAAAAAAATACATTTAAAGGCATCACCCTAGACTTTGAGAAACTATGATGACCCATTTACACTTTTATCTGACAATCTTTAAAATAATCAGTCAATTAAACCATGATAGAAAATAATTGTAAATGCAGCCATTCAGTATATATGTTTTATAATGATTGATCATGAAAGTGTTCTCAAAGCTGGTAAAGGTGCAGCTAGTTTGAATGACTTTGTATACTGCAGGGTAGCTTGTGAATTTACTCCAGGTGGAACTAAAGTCTGATTTTAAGACTTGATTATATTTCACATCATTCATCCACATCTGTAAAGTAACTAAAGGTATTAAATACATGTAGTGGAGTGAAAGTACACCATTTACCTCTGAACTGTAGAGGACTAGAAGTACAGAGTAGCATCAAAGTCAAGTCAAGTACAAATATCTCAAAATTGTACTTAAGTACAGTACTTGAATAAGTGTACTTAGTAACTTCCCACATCTGAAATCAGATATGACTTCAAGTCATGTGATAATTTCTTAGTATTTGATCCTTCAACTTGGCCTCAGGAAATGCAAGGACTTCACAGTTTTGGCAACAAGTTTTGGAGAAAGCAAATCGGAGGCTTAAAAAGAGACATGGAGGTGCATCTTCATCATCTTCATCATCTAGCATGCAAGAAGTGTAAATAGAGGACAGTGAAGGAGACACTGAGGAGGACCACGCTTCGTGTGGGGTGAGTACCAAACGCTGTCTCCTGGTACTCATCTGAGTAACTCACTAAAAAAGTGATGTGCACCCCTGAGTATAGCATACATCACTCAAGATACATTTGTACTGTAAGTAAAACACATGTTTCCATCGTGGCTCTGTGGCTTTGCATCATCTGCTTAATTGTTGCTTTAAAGTGTGCGACTGGCATAAGGACATTTTTGGTTTGGTCTGTTTTCTTTTATGGGTTTTTTAGGTCCCTGCCTCCAAAACTACAAAGACAAATACGAATATTGGATAAAAAAAAAAATGCTTGACTGGTCTCCTGGTTTGATATTTCATAATGAAACCACTTTCCCATTACAAAGTCTATGTGATCTCTACTTTAAATGTTGTGGGTTAAATATTGAAGTCAAGTTTTTGCAAAATAATTCCCAAAGATAAACACCTTCATATTAAAGTAATCCATAAACAATGGTATTTGTGTATCTTATGTTTAGTGATTAGTGAGATCAAGCATTGGTGCTGACTTTTTTTTATATTATAATTTTCTTCTCTTTGTCAAAGCAACAGTGTTTGGAGCAACCTTTGTTTTTGCAATTCATTTGTGACTTGAGGGAAACATCTCATGACATTATCGTGGACATTAAAAGCCCAAATGTAATAACATATTTATGTTTAAATGTGTATTTTTGTTGGTCTGAAATGTCACATTGCCGTCATATTGAGTAACACCACAGTGCAATATGGTGGAGATAATAACCACCTCATAGGGGCTCCATGGCTCACACACACACACTGTATTTCCATGAGATTACACACACCTGGCAGCAGATGAAGACCCCCCTCAGGTTGACATTGAAGGTCTCGTCCCACTCCTCCAGACTGGTGTCCTCGCTGGCTGAGTTCCTGTTGATGCCGGCGTTGTTGCAGGCAATGTGGACCGTCCCCCATTTGGAGACGATGTCCTCCACCATCTTCTGGACATCCTCTGGTTTGCTGATGTCTGCTGTGATCGCAATGGAAATGATGCCTGTGTCCAAAAAACATGGGTGTGTTAGAATATGTTGTATATGGTAACATTATGCATGATACAAAGAACTTCATGTAATGTATCTTGATATCTGTCTATGTTGATGTCACACATGGAGCTGCTGTGATGCAAGTCAAATGTCAGACTTGATCAATAAAGTATTATCATATCGTATCGTATTCTTCCCCTGCTTTTTGAATTTTATTTTCCCAATGTGGCTTTGGAAAACATAACGTAAAAAAAACAATACTGTAAATGTGTTTTTAGTTTTAGTTTAATAAGGAGGAGATTTATTTTTAAGATCACACACACTAATTCAGAGGAACATTTCTAACATGAAACATTTTATCTTGAGCTTTAGTACGCTGCCATCTGCTGGCCAAACACTGAAACATGACCAAACTGACAATTTATGACATTTGGCAAAACTTATATAAAATAAACCAAAACAAATGTAATTTATACAGCCCAATTTCACAAAAACAAATTAGTCTCATGGTGCTTTATAGATTAACACACATGGATGACAATGTAAAAGTAAGTAATCAAATTTGAAGAACATTTACAGTTTGATTTGTTTTACATGGTTGAACTCGTGACAGGGGAAGCAAATACAGACAACACAAGACATAGCTTTAGGTAGCAAAAAACGGAGATATGCTCACCTTAGCTGTTATTCTGATCAAAAGTCGTGTTCAATGGCATTAAAACGAGAAAAAAACGCAGCTGAAGGTTAATCCATAGGTTATAGCAATGTGTCTGTCACTTTGAAAAAATTATTGATAATCCATAATTCCATTTTTATGCAAAAATCAGAGAATACAAATTAGCTGCTAATGGTAGCCACCAGAGGTTAGTGCAGCTTCCGGTTTTTCTACGCGTCACTCTCACTCCTTATTTGGTAACCTGTGTGTGTGTGGAACTTTCCCTCGATTCCATTGGCTCCGACGGTTAGAAAGAGATGTCAATCATCAAAATCGCCCGAGGGAAGCCAGAGATATGGAAAATCCACCCAAATGACCCCAGAAGTGTTTTTTTTGTGATAAATCTCTCTAAAAAGGTCAAATGTCACTTGTTTTGCATCAATCTTGATACAGGGTACTTATTATATGTTGTACTTTGGATTCCTAAAGCCTACCTTACCATCATCCAAGGGTAGTTTTCACTATAAGTAAAAAAGAATTTTTGGACGGACACTATAATTTACAGTTTTTTACCATGTTCAATCTGAATTTTCTTTAAAATAAAAAACATCTATATTGATTCTGACTTTTCTACATCCAACTCACAGGTTTATCATTACTTTGAGAAAAAATATTATTAATTTTCCCCTTTTAGAAGTGTAGTTCAGTCAGACAACTCACATGTTTCTTAACATGTTTATTAGAAGCAGCATATAGTTGAGTTTGGCGACTACTGTAGGCTCGGGCATCATCACTCCACAGATATACATAGCACGATGAGTGAGGATTAAATAACTAACCCCCGAGCCTACAGGTGGATGCTGGGATGGAAGCTGGGGTGGTGGGGCAGGCAAGCAGCAGCAACATGAAACACAGCAGCGGTAGCAATGTGAACGCAATAGCAGGCACGAATGCAGCAGCAGCAGCAAGCAATGCATAGAGAGATATCTGGCAGGTTAAATAGAGCGGCATATTAAGGAGACTCTGTTTGGTTGGTTGTAGAGTGGCAAGGGGCATTATGTATGAATGCAGCATAAGTGCTCGAGTTGACTGCCTGAACTAGCTCGCAGGCTTCGCCCCATTTATGGTCATTTGTTCTGGAAATGTCATTTTCGAACCTGAGACCTGAAAAACAGGCTTGGGGCTTAACAGGTTAACAATTAATGCAGCTAATGCTGAGGACTGAGAGGACCTTTCATCCATCTGTCATCTCAGATTATTCACGTTGAGCAGTTTAACCTCAACATAATGCAGCTGTTTGTTTAAACAGTTGCCTCACAAGTCATGAGTCATGTGATAGTTTTCTACTTTGCATTCCCTCTTGGGTCAAATATAGAAGTACCGCCTCCAGGATTTTTCTACTTGAACATAACCAAATGTAAACTCATAATGAAATGATTATAGAAATGCTCCCTGTTGCTTTATATTGTCAAGTTAAGTTTATGAAAATGACAATAATTTAAAGGATATTGTGAGAATTATGTTTGGACTAAGAATACATTTCAATTATAGGAAAAGTACTTTACATTATTATACAACTAACCTTGTTGTACTTCACGTCACAAGCTACAGTATTAATAAAATAGCAGCTTATGCCACTGGATTGAATCAAGCTAAATAGATTTTCATGTTTTGACTTAATAGTAATATCCAAATCAAAAATAACTATCAATAACTATCAATAAATCACTCTGCAGCTATGCAACTATGCTGATTGTCAATTTTTCTAGCAAAAACACCAATAGTGTTCGTTTCAAACATCTTAACCAGTTAAGCCCTGAGCCTGTTTTTCAGGTCTCAGGTTCGAAAATGACATTCCCAGAACAAATGACTATATCTTCCCTTCTAAAAAGGGGTAAATACATAATCTTTTTCTCAAAGCAATGATAACCCTGTGAGTTGGATGTAAAAAAGTCAGAATCAATATAGATTTTTTTTATTTTAATGTAAATTCAGATTGAACATAGTAAAAAAATGTAAATTATAGTGTCCGTCCAATTTTTTGTTTTACTTATAGTGAAAACCACCCTTGAATGATGGGTTAGTAGACTAAAAGCTTTAGGAATCCAAACTATAACATATAATAAGTACCCTGTATCAAGATTGATGCAAAACAAGTGAAGTTTGACCTTTTTAGAAGAAAAAAAAACACTTCTGGAGGGGAAGTTCCTCAAATCCATCTAAACATTACCCATTGGTGAATGAGTGCTGCGCAGCCAGAATGCCCCGGAACCGGAAGCTGCGATACACTCTGGTGGCTATCATTAGCAGCTAATTTGAAATGAGCTGTCAAAAAGGGCTGTCTGTCAGCAAGGAAGAGCTGTGAAAATGTTCTAAATATAGATTACACTTCAAACGTATATTGTTTTTAAGGTAGGCCTTTCCTTTAAGTGGTTTAACCATGCTTTGCTGCTGCCCTCTGACAGCAGTCCATTGTTTAGGGTCATTGTTTTTCTGCTTGCGAACCGCCATTTTACACTGACCACGTATAAGACATATCATTCTGTGTTTTCTAAATTGGGGTTTTCTATTTTGTTGTGTTTTTAAATGTTTTTACATCATGTTTGAGGGGTTTCAGTCTGTGGCTATAAGTATGGTTTTATTGTCTCGTGCTTTTACATTAGTTTATTTTTGTCCTATCGGTTTTTCTAAATGTATTTATGCTGCTTTTCTATATATTTATTGATGTACAGCACTTTGGTCAACTCTGTTGTTTTTAAATGTGCCGTCTAAATAAAGTTGGATTGGATAGGATTGGATACAGACCCACTTAAAAGCATCAGAAGTATCTCTTTGAGTCTTTCTTTGTTGTGTTTACACCCCTTACCTTTGAGATGCAGCTCTTCAGCCACTGCCTCAGCTTTGTTCTGGTCCATGTCGACCACGGCCACCTTGGCCCCGGCCTCGCCCAGAGCGTGAGCGAATGCCCGGCCGATGCCCTGCCCGGCCCCCGTCACGTAGGCAACCTTCCCATCCAGACGCATCCGATCCAGGATGGGACGTCCCATGACCCCGCGGAAAACTTCATCATCTGTTATTTGACTCTAAACAAGACAAATGTATTTATTTATTTGTTTATTCCACACATGGCAATTATTTTAAAACAAAACATGTATACTTATACTGTTTTTGTTTTGCTTTTTATATATAGCGCCTGGTGGAAAGGAGCAGGGAGAAGACAATCTTATTTTACCTGCCCCTTCTTGAAAAAAAAGAAAATGAAATAACCATAAAAAAGTAAAATAAAAGCAATATTCTTTCAGTCACAGTTGCTTACAAATACTGAAATATAAAACCAGAACACAATCAAAAGTCAACTTCATACTTTCTAATTACGCGTTCTTTATACATTTTCTTAAACATAACAATGTTCTTATGGCCCTTTGAATCATTCGGCAAATAATTCCATTTCTTTACGCCAACTACAGAGACACACATCTGCTTTAAAGTATACGTGCAAACTGATGCATAAAATGTAATTTCCTCCTATGATGCTCATCCTCTGAAATCAAAAATAGAATAAGTCATGATCTGCAAGAATTATGCTTTTACTAAGAGAAAATCTGTAGTTAGGGTTTGATTGGAGGACTTTATCTACATTATCTAAACAGTACCTGTGTTTTTGAACTCAAGGCCACAGGTACTTGACGGATAACACTGATGCCATCTCTGAGAGGGAGAATGACCTTTAAAAACAAAAGACACATTGTTAAAAATACTTGTATCTATCAAACACAAACAGCAGCATGTTAAGGTTTGAAACGTACCTGCTCCACACGGGGATCGTCACAAACAAACTGGTTGAATTTTCGGAGTGCCAGTCCGTTGCTATCCGTGGCGTCTTTGAGATAAACTTTGGCTTTGAACAGGGTGTTATCAACACATATGACCCCCCGCAGTCTCAGCAGACTGTTGTCCAGAATGAAGTTGTAGTAGTTGATGTAATTGTCTTTGTCAGCATCAATGAAGACCATGTCAAATTGCTCGCCTGCAGCAGCCAATTCCTTGAAGGGAAGAGAGAGTTATTAGAAAACTGGTCATGTGCCCCACAGTCTGATAAACCAAAACATATTCCTCTGACATTTCATGAGCAACTCTAAGTACTTTGATTGTATCCATATCTTCTATTTCAATTCTACATTTCTATTATATTTGCATTCATATTTAGTCTTGAAACTTGGGGAGGTGTCTTCATAAGCCTTTTTTTTGTTTTACTTCAAACCTCTCTTAGAAGCCTATATTCATAGACTTTTTAAAAGCAGGGGAAGTAGTCACCATTACAACATCTATTGGTTTGGGGAATACTGTTTTGAAGCCTTGAATTTGGGATTTTGACCGTTGCTTTCTTGGTTTTTAGAACCAAAAGTGACATGAGAAGTTGGAGCTAAGTACAATGAATGCTGAACAGGATGTTTTTAGGCAACCAAATTGTGACTTTTAACTTTCATAAACTGAAAACACACTGTTAGGGCTTAAAAAACACAGATATGTAAAACAGCCAAACAAACTACAACAAAAACATATTATATATATATCACAATGTGCTCTCTGCTTTATCGTCAATCTTGAAAAATGGCACCATAATTGACTCAATGCTTTATTTAACAAGACTTTAAGCTAGTGATTGAGATCAACTTAAAATGAGTGTCATTTTCTCAAATACTTCTATATAATCTGATTTATTTTTGTAAAGTCTGCCCCTTGCTGGTCATTAGAAAGAGTGCAGGTCTAAGGCTGTTCCGAATTGCTTCACTTTTTCAGGTGTTCAAAGTTCACATATTTTCTTAAATTCTTCCAGGTTTTACATATCTATGTAAATGTGCACTAATTATTTTCTGGGTTTTTTCTCACCTTGAGGGTGTCCATGGCAGATCCAGTCTTGACAGTGATCTTCCTGCCATGTGGAGACTTGTTGAAAATGGGCTGAGCAAAGTCTTTAAGGTATGGCTCTAACTCACAGGCCGTCAGGCAGCCGTCCTCTGGAAGCCCCTCGGCCATAGACAGGGCCCCATAGCCGGTGAACATCCCGATCTCTAGAACCCTCTTTGCTTGACTCATGTGGATCAGCATCTTCAGGGTCTGGCCTGCCAAAAACACACACATTAAAAGCAAGTTATCACAATATGGTAAACCACTGAAATATTAGCAGTAAGCTTGTAAATGTCTAACCTTCAACATGTCCAGTGATGCACTCCTTGGGGAGACGGAACATTGTTTTACCCTCCTTGTGCACTTTATCCCAGTCATGGGAAATTGTTTTTCTACAAAAAAGTTCAAAATGACACTCTTAACAAGTGTACCTCACACAGTATCAATTTGAGAAGATTAAGGGTATGAATACAAGACATACTCATATAGCTCTGCGAGGGGTTCACTCTCCTGTGTGGTCATTTTCTCCAGGTAGTCGTCCAGGCCGCTGGCGATGTCCAAAGCCTTCTGCAGCTGGCTCTTCAACTCCTCCGGCACATGGCCATTTGCTATGGCTAACTCCTTGGCTTTTGTTAGGATATCCACAAGGACTTCCACTGGGGTGTCGGGAACTGGGGGAAATAAATAAGGTAATTTTGGTTTTAAAATGAACTACTCTGCTACATGCAATATAACTGATATTCAATATCCAGTGATCTGTCAGTTATTTTCAGAATTATTGAATGAATTCTAAATGAGAAATACTGAAAATTAGCAAAACCATGCTACTGAAAAATAACCAGAAAATATGTTGCAGATTGATTTGACTTATTGACACGAATATTCACTTATTATTAACATGCTCACCCCTAATCCAATTGAACATGGGTGTAACCTTATTACAATATACAATATTTTACATACAGTATTTCAGAAAAGCCATCAAATGTTTTTTTTACCGTTCAATCATTTTGGGGAAAACGCAAAAATGTACAAGCATGTAGGCTACTTAATGGTACACAGAAAAAAAGACATTGAATTTAATTTGAAAAACATTTTCAATAATAATAAGGGAGTTTTATATTCTTTAACTTAATGAATTCAATGTTCTATTTATCATGTTCAAAATGTAAAATTAAAGTTTTACGACTTCAAATTGTATTTATGTTGACGTCACGAATTTATATGATTTTTTTTAAATCAGCCTGCAAACTTTTACAAACACGAACTAGAACTCCTGTGTGCAGCTGTCTGGCTCTCCGCGTAATTTAAGATGGGTCTAATAGAAACAACGTTACGCACTGCACCCCGGTGGAGTTTCAGATACTTAAGATACGCATTGATCCCGTATGAAAGGAACTCTGGCTCCGCAACAACAGACAAATAATCTTACCTTTTACGGCAGGCATGGTGCAGGATAATGGGCGTGACGATGTGTGCAGCTGCAGCCTCGGTGGAAGTATAGAGCGTGGTTGGAGACTTTCTGTTATATCACAAAACTACCTATGCAGGTTGTATAATTTAGGGGAGTGACAGGTAGCTTGCACAACAGACAGACAAACGTGTTCCTACTTAGCTGGACCGCCCCATGCCAACTTGTGAGTGGGGGGGGGGGGCAGTAATTGCGCATAAAGGGGCGGGGTTACCCGACCAATTCATTCAAGGTATATCTGAATGCATTTAAGGGGTGTTTTTTTTTGGTTAAAGGTAGGGTAGATAATTCACTTCAGAAACACTTGTTATATTCCATGGAATGCTCTTAACATCCCGATAGCAATAAATAAATTAAATGCTTTGTCAATAAATATTTACAAATATTTCATCTGTGGAAGCCGTGGCGCTGTACAAAGCAAGTCCAATTATCTGCTTCATTGGTCATGTGCGCGTTTGTGTGTGTTGGAGGAGGGGCTCTGTAAGGAGGTCTGAAGGAAGGGGCAGATTTTTTTCGGTTATGTGTACTTTCAAATTCTAGCTTACTCGATTCTTACCTACCCTCATTTTAAGTTTGGAGTTATAGAAATTATACACACAAGACATTTACCTTTTAAGCAAAGGTTAAAACTTTGTCAGAGTAAAATTATTTTCATTTTTCAAATATTGTTCTACTTTTCAGAAATGTTACCATTAAAGGTGGGGTAGGTAAGTTTGAGAAACTGGCTCGGGATACACTTTTTGTTATATTCCATGGAATGCTCTTAACATCCCGATAGCAATGAATATCTTAAGTGCTTTGACAAAAAATCCATTAAAAAATGTCATCTGTGGAAGCCGTAGTACTGTAAAAAGCACGACCAATCATTTTAGCCGGCCCGGCTAAAATAACTGGATGGCCTACCTGCCTGTCAGCCTTCCATCTGTGCACAAACTTATCTCGTGCCCTCATTGGTCATGTGTGCGTTCGTGTGTGTTGGAGGAGGGGCTCTGTAAGGAAGTGGCAGATTTGTTCCGGCTGTGTATTTTCAAATTCTAGCGCACTCGAGCTGGTTTCTCCAAAATTACCTACCCCACCTTTAAACTGTTAAAAAATTATAAAAAAACAACCAAACTAACAATTGTTTGGGCATAGATTTATTATTGTTTAACATAAATGTCTCAGTTTCAGGGCCATTGTTATTTTTATTTGTAACACCTGCAACGTCTACTGTGTTAAGGCCAAGTTAAACAAGTATTATGGAATGTAATGAGAAAATGTTTGACACATAGCTTGCACTTGAAAAACGTGTTTTGCTAAAAATGTGTCTCAAACATTTATGTGTATGCTGTAAAGTCTAAAGCTAAAGTAATATGGGATTGATTTATTGGGGACAGAGCAGCTGCAGGACTTAGATGTAAACACTACATTGAACTTTGTTCAACTGAAAAGTAATGGAACACGTGTAAGTTAGAAGTTTCATAATAATGATTCCATTAGAACGATCGGCTTTCTCCCTGTATTTGAACCAGTGGCGGCGCCAGGGTATGGCTGGGGTAGGCTACAGCCATACCAAGAAATGGCTTAGCCCCACCTTAGCCCCACCATGAAAAGTGATGCAAATTCAATTAAATAATAAGCGAAATGCTAAATGTTGAGAACACGGATTGCGAAAATATACGGGTCGTGTCCACAGCACACAAACTGATCCTGCTGTAACAACAAGTGCACGTTACTGATGCAATATGGTTGAGACCATTCGGGCTTATGCTATAAGAGGGGTGCAAGGAATAGTCTAAGTAGTGGGGGAGTTTTATACACTAAAGGTGTGGAAATTCTCTGGCGTTATAATATCAGCTCGGCCGCGGTCAGATCAAAATGCCTCCGAATGCAATTTGAATAGACCTACAGCCAATCAGAGCAACGCAACGTTGGATCTGCGTCATGCCTTATTGATTGAGATCAATCGAAACCGCCATTCAGTATCCCCATTGGATCTTCAACGTGTACTATCATACGTCACGTTCACAGTGATCCCTTTTTATTTACTACAAGACAAATGTGCCGTTTTATTTCATACAGTTCCATTTTGATTGAGACAGGGAAATAATCTAAACCTCACGCGTGGCGTTTCACTGTGAAGGGGGGCAATATAGCGTGTATGTAATTACATTGCAAATACTGACTTGAGCACCACCACTGTATGGGTTAGCCCTACCATCAGGGCTGGACTGGGACAGCAAATCGGCCCTGGCATTTAGACCCAGACCGGCCCAAATCCATAAAACAAACGAATAGTAGCGGTTCCTGACAAGAAGAATAACTCAGTATAATTTTAAAAAACGCTATTATTATCCTTTTTACGTACCAGGGGCAAACAAAACTAATACATACCACAAGTATGTGTAACTATCAATCATTAGAAATTAGACCTTCAAACCCTCTCACAAAGCGAACAGTGACCGAGCACTAATAGGGGGGTCTGAGGGGGTATGCCCCCCACAGAAGAAAAGTTTTAAAAATAACCCCTTAAATGATGACTTCTAGTGAATTTAGGGGGGGGGACCCTATAGTGCCCTGCCTCCCCTTTCTATGACAACACAATAGAGATAGGACCAGATGAGTCTACAGGATGAGTTGACGGCATCTTTTTTATATACATTGACGCTTTCATTTAATTTTTCCATCCTTTTTTTAATCGCTGTAAATGTATTGCCTTTTTTATCTGTACACACGACACCTATTGCACGTCTGTCCGTCCTGGGAGAGGGATCCCTCTTCTGTTGCTCTCACAGAGGTTTCTTCCTACTTTCCACTGTTAATTGTGGGGTCTGTTTTGGGGAGTTTTTCCTTGAGCGCTGCTAGGGTCTAAGGACAGAGGATGTCGTACCTGTACACACTGTGAAGCCCTCTGAGACAAATTGTAATTTGTGATATTGGGCTATATAAATAAAATGTGATTGATTGATTGACGCACGCAAGGGGCTATAGTGCAAGTCTTAGGCGGTTGGTTTCTCAGAACCTCACAGAGCACACAGAACTGAAGGAACACAGGCTTAACCAAAAATACTATGTATACTATACACTGTCTTTATTTTTTTTCCTGAGAATAGGTTTGAAAGAGACAGATTTAAATTTACAAAGAGAGTTGAAGCAACATTTGACAGAAATCCCACATAAATTACATAAAAGTACACAACTAGCATGATATATATACTGTATATATATACTGTACACACAAAGTAACTTATATACTAGACTGAAATAACTGAAATGAATGCTTGTTGTGGAGAGGGGCACTATGTCCAGCGTCCATTCCTCGGGGTAGGAGTTTGTGTGTGTGTGTGTGTGTGTGTGTGTGTGTGTGTGTGTGTGTGTGTGTGTGTGTGTGTGTGTGTGTGTGTGTGTGTGTGTGTGTGTGTGTGTGTGTGTGTGTGTGTGTGTGTGTGTCTGAGTGTCTGTGTGTCTGTGTGTCTGTGTGTCTGTTTGCATGTGTGAGTGTAGTTGGGGGGCTTTGGGAGAGTCAAAAAGGATGCAGGTGACCTCTTTGGTCCCTGATAGAGGTCCATACAAATAGGCATTGACATAACAATACCACACAGTTAATGGTCAAAACTACCATGTGCCTCAATTTTTTTATCTATTTCTATATTATTCATTCTATATATTGTCAATCAAAACTACCACAAAAAGCTGACTATAAACATTTTTTTCAGGCCCCAAAAGACCACTGTTGCCCTTATAACCACATAAGTAAATAAACTAAACAAAACAATCTGCCAGCTGACAGTAATTGTTCATGAATGGTGGTTAACAAAATAATGACATTCTTTCAATGAGACAACGTATCAGAGTCCCATTAAGCTATATTTTAACTTGCCAGGGAAAACCTAAAAACGCCAGCTTACTAGCTTGAAGGCTAACGAATGTTTCTCTTATAATATTTGTCTTATTAGTGCTTCATCAAGGGGATATTAATGGGTTCCAGAACTACAGAGTATCATAACCTTAATAATAATCTTTTCCTAATTTTCTTAGCTTCTGCTTACCGCGAGTTCTCCTCCCTCTCCCCACTCGCGCTGATCTCTCTCCCTCTCATCATCTTCCTCACCACCAATATCGGCCACGGGTGCTGAAGATGGACCTGCACCTGTACTAAACATGTCGGTTATGTTGACACAAGCGGCAGCATCAGCACGAAGGGCCTGCTTTTTTCTTGCCCGCAATTTTTCTGCTCCCCCTTTTCGCTTGGCCTTCGTCTTCGCCTTCGCCTTCTCCATTTCTAACTCGAACTTTTTTTTTTCTCGAAAAAAAAGGCAGTTTGGCTTCAACGGCCGGCTCACCTCCTGGGGGCGTGATTTAATGATGCACACCGAGCGGCCCAAAGGGGGAGGTGATTAAAGATTTGATTGGGCCGGCCCAGTGTCAATTACTAAAAACAACAGAGGGCCAATCTACCCGCCTTATGGGCCGGGACTTCAGAAAAAAAAAAAAATGACGTGTCGGCCCAAAAGGCACGTCGGCCCACCGGGAAAATGCCCGGTATGCCAGATGGCCAGTCCAGCCCTGCCTACCATAGATTACCCAACAAAAATGCTCTGGCGCCGCCACTGATTTGAACACTCAGTATTCTGTCTCCTTTTACCTCGGACTCTGCCAATGCATATCATGGCTCTTACCAGCAGGACAGAAAGCCAAAACCATGATTTTCTCTGTGGATCAACGGTAATGGTGGTCAGGTCCGTGGGATTTGTCACCATGAGTGACGCATTTCAGATAAGGCACTTATAATTGTAAAGTTATAATTGTTATAACACAGCTCAGACATTCCAAAACACTTCTGAAATGGGTGGTGTGACGAGACTGGGGGTGATAGGGAATAGACAATCAATGGCCTTGCTCTCCCTAACAATCTCAACATACTGGGTCAAAGAGATCCTTTTTTTATCTCTTGCCCCTCTTTTTATCTTTATTTGTATGTAACATTTGACGAAAGACGCTACAGTATGATGCATCCAAGCACTGGTGCACCAGGTGCTAACATCTATAGTTTAAAGTATCTTCCCCATCCTCCCAAGATAACTGTTGTCTTACTGTCTTCCCACTCATCATGCCATGAGGTTATGTTAAATCAAATCCTTGTAATTAAAGATGATGTTA